AGGAGCAGGACTCCAGTATTACACATGAAGTGTTCCACAAACAGGACCTCCATTTCTCCTGAATTAAGGTACTCAGCAAGGAACCATTTGGAGCTGGGACTGGTTCTCTTTTTATTTTACATGTAATTTAAAATTCAACCCAAATAGCTTCTTAAAGCTATAATACCTAAAAGCCATGGCAAAGGGATAGCAATTGGGTCACAATTACTTAAGACATTATTTTTTATTATTATTTACTTATTATTTTTTATTTTTTCCCTTTCACCAGAAAAATCACAAATCAAATTCCCAGGTGCCCTCCACTGGATTCTAGCTGCCAACACTTTCTCTCTGTTCAGTGGGTTCCCCAAATTCCAGGTTATTAATGAACAGGATGTAGGCTCCACTCCTTCCCTTTGGTCTTGCCTCCTGAAAACAGCACCCTGACCTTTCTTTTAGTTATTGTAAGAGATTTGCTACAAAGTACCACAATGTGGGGAGTATGGAGGGAAATAGTAAAACAAATAAGTATTTTTAAAAAGTAGTAAGATAGATAAAAAGAGAAAATAATTGTTCCACAGATCCTACAGAATCTCACTTATCTAAAGATTTATTCCTTTTTTCGCATTGGAGAAAATAATTGTTCCACAGATCCTACAGGATCTCCCTTATCTAATAATTTATTCCTTTTTCGCATCATGGACTCCTCCCATCCAGGGCAGTAACATGAAACCAATGAACCCCTTCTCAGAATGTTTTTAAATGTATAAAATAAAGTACATATAGGATAAAGATGTTATTTTTTTCCCCATCCAATTCCACAGTTTGGGTACCCAGACAAGTTAAGAAGCCCTGCTCATTTTCAAGGGCCTTGGTTAGCTCTTTCTTAGTCCCTCCTCATTCTTTCTACCAGCTTTTTGTTGTTTAGTCATTTCAATTCTTCACATCCCTTGGAGCTTTCTTGGCAGAGATACAGGAGTGGTTTGCCATTCCTTTGGCCAGCTCATTTTACAGATGAGAAAACTGAGGCAAACAGCCGTGAAATGACTTGCAAAGAGTCACACAGTAAGTGTCTGAGGCTAGATTAGAACCCAGGAAGTCTTAGAACCCAAGTCTTCCTGACTCTAGACCCAGAGCTCTATCCACTGTGCCACCTAGCTGCCCTCTACCACCTAGTTCCCCCTATTTTTTTTTCTTTGCTTGTCCCCAAGTCAATTCACTGAGTTCTCCTCAATCTACAGAAGTTATTAAAAAACAAAAACAAAAACAAAAAAACAACCCAACACCCTAACAGTCTCTTAGCTCTGGTTGTTTTTATTGTCTGGTCTTTCCTTTAAATGGAGGACATACTCTAAATAGGGAGTGCTCTTACTCCCTCGGTGAAGTCACAACTAGTGATTAGTTTGCAGGCAAAGAAAGATCAACCCACACAGTCCCCTTCTGTAAATAATTTAAATACCCTAACTGAAAATCAAGTATTTTTGTTTTCCATTAAAGCTAAATTTATCTTTTGTGTGACTATTACATTGAAATTTAGGTTAGATGTTACTTTGAGGAGGGTTTTTAAACTTTTTTTTTAAATTCAGTGCTGTGCCTATCAGACTCTCAAAAGGGGGAATTTTTTAAAAGCATGTGGAGAAATAACGGTCAAAAACCTCAAGAGTAAAACAAAAAAAAAGTGGGAGAGATTTTTCAGTACCAAATCTCAAACAGTGCTACAAAACAGTAATCATTAAAATGATTTGGTCCTGGTTTTTCATAAAAAGACAAAGAGAAATCGATGCAACAGACTAGGTGCAACATAAGGAAATAAACAAACAACATAAGGAAATAAACAGCAGCATGATATTTGACAAATACAAAGACCCCAATTGTTAAGGGTGGGATTCACTAACATAAAAACTGGTGGGAAAACTGGAAAGCACTCTGACAAAATCAGGATTAAAACAATCCTCTCAGTATATACCAAGGTACATTCCAAATGGATACATGACCTAGATATAAATGATTATATCATAAAGAAATCAGAGGAGCAAGGAAGAAATTACCTAGAAGATCTACGGAAAGGGGGAAAGTTCATAACTAAAGAAGAAATAAAGAGGATCACACAATTTGAAACAACTAATTTTGGTTACATAAAATTTAAAAGTTTTTGCACAAATCTAATGTAGTAAATATTAGAAAGAAAACAAGTTAATGGGGGAAAAAATCTTTGCAAGAGGTTTCTCTGGTAAAGGGCTTGTATCCAAGATATAAAAGAAAATTATTCAAATTTATAAGACCAGGAGCCGTTATCAAAAAATCAAAGGATATGAAGAAGCAGTTTTAAAAGTAAGAGATACAAACCATCAATAATAACATTAAAAGGTGCTCTAAATCACTAATAACTAAAGAAATGCAAGAAAGCAACTCTGAGGTTACACATAATATCTATCAGACTGACAAGATTGGCAAGATGTTGGTGGGGCTGTAGGAAGAGAAGTACAATAATGCATTGTTGATGGAGCCATGAACTGGTTCAGCCCTTCTGGAAAGCAATTTGGAACTATGCCTAGAAAGTTACCAAACTGTGCCTTTGACTCAGCTATACCACCACCCTGAAAAAAAGATCAAAGAAAGAAGAAAAGAATCTATATGAAGGGGTAGCCAGAATTTTGAAACTAAAGTAGTAGGCTACTGGGCAATAACTAAGTAAGTTCTGGTATGTTAATTTAATAGAATTAAATCATTTAATGAAATAGTATTATTATGCCACAAGAAATGATGAAATGAGTAATTTCAGAGGAAAGTGGGAAGACCTTTATGAACTGATATATAGTGAAATGAGCAGAACTATGAGAACAATTTATACAGTACCATCACAGAGATAAGCTCTGAAAGATTTTAAAACTTTGATCAACATGATGATAAACTCTAGGTCCAAAATATTGAAGATGAAACACACCACTCACCCACCTCCTGACAGAAAAGTAGTAAACTTAAAATGCAAAAATTACCACACATTTTGGGACACAGCTGATGTGGGGACTTGTTCTGCTCGACTGTGGAGCTATATATGTATCTGAGGGTTATATTTTTCAGGTTTGTTTTTTTGTTGCCCAATGTGGGGGCGGGGGGGGGGCGGGGCGGATATCAAGGATACCAGAGAGGACAGATAAATTTTTTTTAATGCTTTTTAATTGAAAATAAATACTTAAATAGAAACACAATAAAATCTACAAGATCTATGGATAGGGGGAAAGTTCATAACTAAAGAAGAAATAAAGGAGATCACACAATTTGGAATGACTAATTTTGGTTATATAAAATTTAAGTTTTTGCACAAGTCTAATGTAGCAAATATTAGAAAGAAAACAAGTTAATGGGGGGAAAATCTTTGCAATAAGTTTCTCTGGTAAAGGGCTCATATACAAGATATAAAAGAAAATTATTCAAATTTATAAGACTAGGAGCCACTATCGAAAAGTCAAAGGATATGAGCAAGTAGTTTTAAAAGTAAGAAATACAAACCATCAATAAGCATATTAAAAGTGCTCTAAATCACTAATAATTAAGAGAAATGCAAGAAAGCAACTTGGAGGTTACACATAATAAAATTTATTTTTTAAAAGCCAGAAAAGATAAAGAAAAGACTCTGATGTGAACTAAAGGCTTTAAAACACATTAAAATAAAAAGAAACTAAAATCTCTTTCCTAAACACAATAAAAATTATTGATTTCAAACCAAGAGTCTGATGGGAAAAGAGTATCAAGATTCCCAATTCAATTAGATTCATCAAGCACTTATTACAGCACCTACTATGGGACAAGTACTATTGGCTAAAATCCTCCTATAAAAACAAGGGTGCTCACTTTGCCTACTTCATTTTGATAGAGTATTTAGAAATACTAGCAATCTTTCAGATATGACAAAAAATTTATACCAACAGTTTTTAACAGAAACAGCTGAGGCAGCTAGGTGGTGCAGTGGATAGAGCTCTGGCCTTGGAGTCAGGAGGACCTGAGTTCAAATCCTACCTCAGACATTTGACACTTACTTTGTTATGTGACCAAATCACTTAACCCCAATTGCCTTACCAGAAACAAAAAAAAAAAAAAAAAGAAAAGAAACAAAAACCAAAAACAAAGTAGACATCTATCAATTGAGAATGGCTAAACAAACTAAGATACATAAATATAATGGAATATTAAACAATGACCATAAAGATCACAGAGAAGCATGGGAAAACTTATATGATCTGATGCAGAAGATATAATGACCAAGTGTGGCCCTAAAGAAGAGTTATAAGAATGAGTTTTCCTCCCGTTTGCAGAATTTGGGGATCATGGGTATGGAACACTGCACGTTGTTTCAGACTGGGTCATAGATATGATAATGAGGAGTTTTGCGGAACTCTTTAAATTCTTTGTTAAAACAAGGGACAGCCTTCTGGGAGAGATAAAAAGGAGAGGCTATTCTAGGAAATGAAGATGTTTAAAACAAAAGTTTAATAAACTTTTAAAAGTGGTAGCCATATCATTTAGATTACAAAAAGAAATTAAAGGGATTAATGCTACAAATGAACTTTTCGAAATATTACTAACAGATGACACAACTAATTATCTAGAAAACAGATGACACAACTAATTATCTAGAAAATCATGTAATCAACAAAAAAAATAAATTGTAATATAAAGTGCAACAAGTTTTCAAGATAAAGGTTAAATCAAATAATTTCTATTCTTATATGAAAACAAAAATCAAAAAAATATTGTTTTTTAAAAAACATCACTTACAATGAAAAAATTGAATATCTGGGATTAACTCTAGACTTGAATATTATTTTTATAAAGATAATTATACAACAGAAATACAATAATTGGTGAGGTACTGAATATTAAAGGATTCATTAACCTAGTAAAAATGATAATTCACTAGTTTAATGCAACATCTAATGCAAATAATGATTTTTTAAGAGAACTAAATATAATTATAACAAATTCTGCATGGACAAATAAGAGTAGAAGAATTCAAGACATACTTTGAAAAGTATTTGGTAGCAGGAAATACTGTGAGCTCCTGTCTCCCCCAGATCTTGATAGGGAAATCCAAGAGAAAGTCACAGTGAATCACTTTTCCAGCTCTTGTTCACCTAAGGAGACAGAAAAAGGGGTCTATGGATGCTGGGTCTGGGCCTGGTTTGAAGCATGCTGCCCAAAGCACTCCAGTGCAAGGGAAAGGCTGTGCACGAGGACAATAGGAGGTCCCAGACCCATTTGGGGCACCTTACATAGGGTGAGTGAATAAGTGCCAAGTGGCATCTTTGTTGCCCTCTTCCCAATCCCAGGTCACATGTTGGGGCAGACGGTGAGAGGTGGCTATCCAGAAAAGAAGTATTTGTGAGGCCTGACCCTGTGTAACCAGCAAAGAAGAAATTCAGAAGCAAGTAGCAGTGGTGTAGGCTCAGACCCCTGGAGCAGAGAGGGTTCTCAGTTCCAACTTTTAGCCCAGTCTGAAGCCTGCAGAGGAATAACCAGCGTAGGAAATCCAGACTTAAGGCAAGGCTATAGTTCTGTCACACAGAACCTGCAGAGATTTCCAGCTGGCTGACAGCAGCTGAGTACAGCAACAGGTTACTGTTGCCCAAACCCAAACTCAGGTCAGGAAGCTGCAGACCTGGGGGGTGGGAGTGAGGGATGAGGGATGAGAGGGCAACACTTAGCCTTGTCATGGAACAGACTACTTTGGAAGGAACCCCAACAGCTTGCAGGTCTGTGGCCTTGGTTTGTCCCTGAGAGCCTGGAATAACACGACACTCAGCCCCAAGAAAGCAGCAACAGCATCAGTCCAGACTTTCCTTCTAGAAGTGCACAGAGCCTGGTCTTAACATAAAGCCTGAAATCAGAAGTAGGCTAGAAGAATGAGCAAACAAAAAAAGAATCCCACTATAAAAAAGTTATCATGATAACAGGGATGTTCAAGCATGAACCCAGAAAAAGAGAATTGACTCCAACATCTACAAGCAAAGCCTCGAAGAAATACACAGCTTGGGCATAAATTCATCTAGAACTCCTGGAAAAGATGAAGAAAAAGTTTTTAAAAAGAGTTTTAAAAATGTTTTAATAAGTGAGATGACAGTACTACAGGGAAAAAATTGAAAAAGAAGTAAGAGCTATGGAAGACAGAACTGGAAAGGGAATTCAGCTTGGCACAAGAGGTGAGTAACCCTGCCCAAGCAACAAACTCCCTGAAAACTAGAATAGAGGGAGGGAGGGAATAAGCATTTAATTAGTTCCTGCTATGTGCCAGGCACCATAACTGCTGGGCCTCACAGCAACCCTGCAAGGTAAGTGAGTCTGTTATTATCCCCATTTTACAGTGGACATTTTACAGAAAGGCCCAAAAAGTAGCCAATGATTCCAAGATATAAGTAATAATAACAACTAGCATTTTACATGACCCAATAAGATTTGCGAAGTACTTTCTAAATTTACCTCATTTTATCCTCACAACAAGCCTGGGAGGCAGGTACTATTATTATCCCATTTTAAAAGAGGAGGAAACTGGGAGAGAGACTTGCCCAGGGTCACATGGCTAATAAATATTTGAGGCCACATTTGAATTCAGGTCTTTCTGACTCAAAATCTAGTCCTCTCCCAATGTACCACCATAGTTGCCTGAGACAAGAAATATGAAAACAAAGTCAAAAGACTGAAAAAGATGAAGAAAATGAGATGCATCTCATAGCAAAAACTGACCTGGAAAACAGAAGGAGAAATAATTTAAGAATCATGGGACTACCTCAAAGCTATGATCTCCTGAAAAAAAAAAAAGGGTATACACACCATATTTCAAGAAATTGTAAAAGAAATCTACCCAAATCTCTTAGAACCAGAGGGCAAAGTAGAAATAGACTTTACTGGTCACTTCCTGAGGAAAAAAACTCCAAAGGAAAAACTTCTTGGAACATTACAGCCAAAATCCAGAGTTTACAGGTCAAAGAAAAAATATTGAAAGGAGTCATTAGTCAAGAATTCAAGTATTGAGGAGCCACAGTTAGAATCACACATGACTTAGTAGCCATCTATATAAAGGAGTGGAGAACTTGGAATGATATTCTAAAAGGCAAAGGATATAGGATTACAGCCAATAATTACTTACCTAGCCAAATTGAGTATAATCCTACAGGGGAATACATTGACCTTTAATGAAATATAGGACTTTTAAGCATTCTTAATGAAAGGAACAAAGTTGAATAGAAACTTTGATGTTTAAACACTGGAGTTAAGAGAAACACAAAATGGTAAAGACAAATGAACAATGATGAAAGAAAGATATGTTATAATATGTGGATATGATATATGTATCCCCTCCAAGCAGAAGAAAATTAATATTATACTGCATCATTTGATAATTATTATTACTCTGTAATCCATCCTTTTCTCCATTTTATCAAAACCCTGTCTCTTAGCCTAGCTCAAAAGACCTTTCCCAGTTGGAACTAAAGCATGGTTGGAAGAAAGTGATCACTCCTAGTCGCCACCCCCATCTGATTAAAGTGGGATCCCCTGTTTCTGTTTACCTTGTAAACAGAGAACCAGTTTGGACAAGGCCCTCCCCAGGGAATTCTCTCACCTTGCTTTTCCTCATCAAAGTCTGAGGTGACTTGGTCTCCAAGAGGGAAATCAAAGTGGGGGTGTGGAGCCTCAATGGGATGGTTTTTGTTTTTCTAGCCAAGACTGCTACAGGTAGCTGGGTTCCAACAAGTTATTAGTATTTCTTAAGTGCCAAGAGAAAGGAATGATGGGCCTCACTTAAAACCCACTTTTCCAAGCTGAAGATTAATACTGTCATCTGAAGATTACTCCAGTCTCCCAAAGAGGAAGTAATAAGAAGGAGCTAAGGTAACTCTTAACCTACCTCCTCACTAAAGGGTCTACTAATCAGAAGAGTTTTACTTTTGCCAGGAGCAGTCCAAATGGTCTGTCAGGCCAATCAGAAGGAAGACACACCTAGGTTTAAAAGACCCTGTCTGTCCTTACTCAGGGTCTCTGATCACTGAGAGAGGTCACACTGACCCAATCTATTGGTTATGGATAGCCTAACTGATCATGCTCAGGTCCCTGGCTTTTTGGTTGAGATGACCAGCATGACCCATTTTACTAACAGTTTACATGTTAAAATGCTATCTTGCCCTGAAGAAAACTGTGAAGTCTGCCTTTATTGAAGTTTTACTCACCACAAAACCTAATCAACATCAGTGGTCATAGAGATAATATACCTGGAATTGGTTCTATTATGTCTTAATGATCTGAAAAGAAGAATGGAAAGGAAGGAGAAAAGGAATATACCGAGGGAAGGGGGGGAGGTTAGAGAAAATCATCTCACAGGATTACAGTGATAAGTATACACATACATATATTTATTTCCCTTTTAGACACAGATAATGTGGACACTTATTTTGCTTGACTATAGATATCTATCTATCTATAATATCTACCTGTATATACACACACATACATACACATATTTGTTTGCAAATGGTTTTTTTTTTCCCTTTCTTTCTTAACAGGGACTGGGGGAGAGTGAGCTGATTTTTGTTGATTAAAAAAAATTAATTAAAAAGCAATAAAATAAGAAGTATTCTTGCCCCTCTAGACTTTAAAACATTATAAAGTAGCTATGCTCAACACTACCTTCTAATAGTCAAAGAATAAAAAATTAGACCAGTAGAACCAAGTAGAAACGCCAACTAGAACCAAATATATCCAAAGATTAGTTTTATAAAACTATGGAAAATAAGAACTGAAAAGAAAAACCTCATTATTTAATTATCTTTAGAAAAACTAGACAGCACTGTGGCCAAAAATATTAGGAAATGTTTTCACTAGACCTGCCTACACCACACAGAGATTTTTTTTTAAAGTTAAGGAGGAAGGAAGGAAAAGTTTGTATAAAAAGATTTCTAGTTCTTTTTGTAGTAGCAAAGAACTGGAAACTAAGGCACTGCCCATCAACTGAGGAATGGTGGAACAAATTCTAGTATGTGAATATAACAAAATATGTATTCTAAGAACTGAAGAGACAGTTTCAGAAAAACCTGAGAAGATTTGCCTGAATTGATGCAGAGTGAAGTGACCAGAACCAAGAAAACAATTTATACAATAACAGCAACATTGTAAAGACAAACAACTTTGTAAGACTTAAGAACTTTGGGGCAGGTAGGTGGGGCAGGTAGGTGGCACAGTGGATAGAGCTCCAGCCTTGGAGTCAGGAAGACCTGAGTTCAAATCCGGCCTCAGACCCTTGACACTTACTAGCTATGGGACCCTGGTCAAGTCACTTAACCCCAATTACCTCACCAAAAGAAAAAAAAAAACTTAAAAACTTTTTCTGACCAATGACAACTCCAGAGGACTGATAATGAAGCATGCTAATCAAGTCCTGATAGAGGTGATGAACTCAAGATGCAAAAGAGATATACATTTTTGTAAATGGCTAACGTGGGAATTCATTTTGCTTAACCATATATTCATAATACAAGATTTTTTCCCCAATGAGTGTGAGAAAATAAAAGCTTGTTAACTGAAAAAAAAAATCTAATGGCATAAAGAAAATATTCTATGCTGAACTTAAAATAGCAAGAAAGAAACATACATTTGTTTTCAGTGGGAAGAGAAATAAAAACCATTTCTGGAAACATTTTCTACTTTTGCTTTTTCATCACTGAATTGGTTCATTCATAATCAAAACTAAAATAAATAAGGTTTTTCCCCCTTAATAGCAAAGTCTCAATGTATCTTTGTAAGCTTTAGAGAATCATTTTAGAGCTAGAAGGGACTTTAAAGTCCATCTAGTCCAACCTCTTCATTTCTGAGATGAGGTAACTGAGGCTCAGAGGTGAACTGACTTGCCCCAAGTCACAAAGCAAATTAGTGCCAGAATGAAGAGAATTCAGGTGTCTTTACTCTTAAGCCTAGGGATATTCTATTCTATCACATTTCTAAGGCTGAGAAAATATAGAGGAAGGTATGCAGTTGAATGTAAACAAAAATGATAAAAGAAATCCCCCCAAATCCCAATTTCCCAAATGACCCATAAGGTTTAAAGTCTTTCCTTCCTTTAGTATGCTATGTCCTTAACTCACCTGGACCAATCACTACACTGCTCTTTACTGACCAATCTAACATTTAATGAACTACTTTTTCTCCCAAACTTACAGACTTATCTCTCTGGTTCAAAATCATTCCACCACTCTTCTCTCCCATACAGACTTATAATAACGACAGCATTTATCACCTACCTTCCTAGCTAAACTAACTCCTAAGGTTCCTAAACTCTAATGATTTTGCTCATTAGAATGATATACCCCTCACTAAAACTCTCACCAACATACTAGTTCTTTCTTGCCTAGATTTCAACACACTAATTGGAAGTGATATGAGAAATAAACTGGATGCCATTTTAAATTTTAACGTCTTTTTCACTTTCAGCAATACGTTAAATTCTCTTATTCTTACTTCTTTTATGAACTTCCATTATCACTCATATAATTTCTCTCTTGGACTTAAGATAATTAATATTTTGTATTTGTACCCACAGTGCTTAATACAGCGCTTGGCATCATATTAGGTGGTCTGTTAGAATTTACTGACATCTATAATCTACAGTTCAGTAATTTTTCTTCTCCTCCTACTTTCTGCACTCTTCCCTATCTGGAATTCTTAACTCTTCTTCATTTGTCAGGTAATTCTTTTCTGAAATGTATTTCTGCTAAATGTTTTAAGTAATAGTTCCTTTACCTTCTTCCTGTTTTCTCCTATTTATAAGAGAAATGGCAGAAGGAGAGCACTCTTAAATCACTGAATTTCTGAAATTCAGCCTTCTCTGTTGGAATATTGCATTGATTTATTTGTTGATCTGCCTAAATTGGAGTGTAATTGCCGGGAGCAAAGAATGTCATCTCATATGCCTATCAGGTTAGAAAACAACAAAAATGGTGAACAAGGTAATAAAAATAAAATTTTCCTTGCCCTTCATGAAAACATATCTTATGAATATTCTACACTTTAAGTATTTTGTATCCATAAGTACTCATTGAAATTTTTACTTTATAAAGGGACTTGCACATTAAGTTTAAGATGAAGAAATCCACTAAGGACTATGATTTTTTTTTTTAAAGTCTCAATTATCTACTATTTTAAACAAACCACAGAACTGACTTTATGAATAGCTTTTTTATGCTTTGAAGGCATGGCTTTAAAATCTTAATATCTCTATGCATTATTTTTAAAAATGAAAACACTATAACTATAGGAGCTCTTTTTTTTAAAAATCTACTTAGTTTATGATTTAACATTGTATATAATGGAAAGGTCCACAAAAAATCCTATTACAATACTTCATCATGGCATAGAGGTAATTTTAAGTAATCAAATAGTATACCAGAAAAGCCCAAGTTCTGGTAGGTTTTAGCATACCAAAAAAGCTTTAAATCCAACCAAGAGATGGTTTATGAGCTTATCATTCAAGAAACAGCCCAGCTCTGAGAATCACCTCTTTGTTGACTACCAGGTGACTGATTATTTTGACAGGAGCTATTCATGAAGAGTGGTCTATTAAGGAATGGAAGAATTTCTCTCTTCTAGTTAACTTCTGAAACATATTTCTTCCATTTTCCCCATCTTTGTTTTCTCCAAAATTTCAAACAATCTCTTCTTTTTTTATAACCCCTTAAACAATTGCCCTTGACATTTTACATAAAAGGAAAGCCTGAATCAAACTATATATTGCTTTGGTTGTACCTGCAGTTTTCCCATTTTGGCATAGTGAATAAAAAAGATCCTAAACAATACTGAATTCAAAATAATGAAAAATATTTTTTGCCATTTGAACTTTTAATCCCACTTTTAAAATCTGTCAAGTATTTAGATCATTCCTAGCCTTTATTTTAGATTATAAGATAGGTAACTACAGTACTGAACTCTTTTTTTAACTCTACTTAAGTAGAGTTTAAGATCTAATAAAGTTACTTACCGTCAAAATTGAAGATTTTTGTTACCTGGAGCAGAGTGCCTCTCAGTTTTGGCTTGCCCACCAACTTACTGTGTTGAAGACTTCACAATCTATGGCTTTCATTCTTTAAACACCCTGACCTACTGAAGGAATTTCGTTTTTTATAAGCTGTATGGGCTTGCCAAATTATATAACTATTCTACCCAATCAGCAGCTCTATTTATATTACACAACAGCCACCACATGGTTACAAACTGTTACTGCATGTCTCCGTGATACTCTGTGACTTTAAGTAAATATACAGTAGGTTTCTACATAGCTGGCTGACGGAACATTCTGGAAAGGGAATTAAGCGCTTTTAGTTTACATTTCTAAAGTCTTCATAGATAAGCAGAGTTATAAAAACAATCCCTCTCTAAAACCCAACAACTCAGATGTTTACATTATTGAACAATCTCAATAAAGTATTGAAAAAGGTTACTATAGTCAGTCATAGGATCAGAGGATTTTAGAGTTAGACAGGAACCTACACATCATGTGGCCCAACCACATTTACAGATATAGAGAATGAGAATTCAAGGGAACCCAAGGTCACACAGCTAATAAGTATTCTTCAGAAAAGGCACCCAGATTATAGGAAAGTTTAGAATATCCATATAACAACTAGAATATCCCCCAACAAGAAGGGAGTGGCGCAGTGGATAGAGAGGCACTGAGCCTGGAGGCAGGAAGACCTGAGTTCAAATCCAGCCACAGACACAAGCTGTGTGACCCTAGGCAAGTCATTTAACTTCTGCCTGCCAACGTTTCCTCAACTGTAAAATGGAGATAATAATAGCACATACTTCTCAGATGTGAGGAATAAATAAGAAAACATTTATAAAGGGGTTAGCACAGTGCCTGGCACATAGTAAGCACTTAATAAATGCTTATTTCCTTCTCTCATTCCTTTATCCGTTCCTTCCTTTCCTGTGCCAAAAATTTTTAAAAATTAAGACTTATTAATACTTAAGTTGGACTCAAGATTCAAATTGTTAAAATATTCACAAACATGGGGAAATCTCATAAAAATAGGTTTTTATCTGAGTAAATGAACACATTACAGTCTTTTAATGGTAACATTCCCTCACCACCACCCCCCCACACGATTAAACAAATTGGCTAGATTAAAAGCCAGACTACTATTTAAAAATTGCCAAGGCAGTGCTTTTGCAAAAAAGAGGTGTTGGTATCTCTAGACATATGAGATGAGGCTTCTAGAGATTTTGGAATAAATACATCCTGAAATGGTAGAACCTATGGCTAAACACCTTAGCAAGACTCTAAATACATTCAGTGTCATATATAGCCCACCTAGTGCATGGCTAACTTTCTATTATAGACTGACTAAATAAATGTTAAGTAATAACAAGTTGATGCCCTTGCCATTTTAATACTAAATGGTGCCATATACCATATACAGTTATAATAACTGGTTAAAAAAAACCCATGACTTAAAAAACGAAAATGAATGCAAAATCCCAGAAAGAACATAAATGCGTTAACTAATAGCACCACCTAGTGCCCTAATGTTTGGATGACACCTGTGGAAGAGGAATCTACAGGAGAGATCATACTACCACGCCAGACCCTAAAGATGACGTAGACTAATTCTTTAATTTCCCAAATGAGGAAACTGAGGCCCAGAGAGATTAAGTAACTTGCCCAAGGACATACAGGCATTAAGTGATAAATCCAGAATTTGAACCCAGGTCCTCTGATTCCAAATTCAGTACTTTTCCCACTGTTCTCCACTGTCTCATTTTTTAAAATGACTTCCTGTAGTACTATTCAGGGAATTCAGGGCAAGTTTAGAGTATATTAGGTGATAAAAATAATTTTTTAAAATTAAAGATCCAAATGTGATATTTAAATTTTTGTCTTGATGTTAATGTATTCTGAAAAAAAAAACAAACACCTCTAATAATAGTTTTAAGATAGTCTTAACCTAACTTCAAAGACTGTGGAACAGAAATCAGAACATTATCAATCTCCTTTTTCTTGCCAATACCAGGAAAACAGTCAAAAAGAATAAACCAAAATGTAATAAACTGGTAGATATAAGAAATAATTCTTACCTTGCTTCTCTTGTGTAATTTTCATTAGTTACTATCTGATGGGCATCTCAATCTAGTCACCCATAGATACCTTAAACTAATCCAAAACTAACTCATAAATTCTAAAACTGAACTCATTATACACAATATTTACCAAAAAATCCCTCCCCTCTTCCCAATTTCTGTATTACTACCGAAGGTACAAGTATCCTTCCAGTCACTCAGGGGCATCCTCAATTCCTCACTCTCTCTCATCCTCCCAGCCCAGCTGATTGTCAGCCCCTACCATTGCTACCATCACAACATCTACAGTAAGCGCTCTTGGCTCCTAGGACATCGCTGCCACACTGGTGCAGACCTTTCCCTCACACCTGAAGTGCTGCAGTAACCTCCTGGTCAGTCTCCCTGCCTAGACTCTTCCCACTCCAATCCATTCTCCACTCAGCTGTCAAATTCAGCTTCCTAAAGTGTACATCTGACCATATGACCTCCCCTCCCCATTCAACAAACCCCAGTGCCTCCCCATCTCCTCTAATATCAAATATAAAATCCTTATTTGGCTTTGAAAGTCCTTCATAACCTGACTCCTTCCTATCCTTCCAGTCTTCCTATGCCTTTCTCCCCTCTACATACTACTTCCATGACAAGTAACTCTCTATAAACGACTCCAAATGTTTTCATTCACTGTACCTCATGCCTGGAATCCTCTCCCTCTTCATCTCTTCCTCCTGCCTTCCCTAGCTTCTTCAAGTCTCAGCTAAGTTTCTCCCAGAAGACTTTTCCCAGGCTTCCTTAATCTTAGTGCCTTGCCTCTGATACTAACCCAACATATTTTGTTTGTACATAGTTTTCATGTTGTCTCCTCCATCAGGCTATGAGCTCCTTAAGAACAGGGACTGTTTTTTTGCCATTCTTTGCATCAGTACCTGGCTTAATAAATGCTAGCTGAACTAAATAAATAAATGAAATAAATGCATTCTTGGTCTATCAATAACAGTTGATGAGAATTTTGGATTAACTAACCACAAAGGAAAAGCCAAATGGATGAAGAATATATTGTACAGATAAGAAAATGGAGTTGAAAGGACAACTTAAATCTCATCCATCTGAATATAAATACATTGGACAAACATTGCTAATGGACAATAAATTGGACCAAGGATTGAAAAGGAAGAGCAAAAGGACTGGAGAACTACCTTTGGGAAAATGCAGAGTTTTTTTTAAAATGACCTCAAGCTTCCCTTTTATTATCATAAAAGGCTCCAGAGAAATAATAACCAACATTTATATAGCACTTTAAGTATATTAACTCAATTAACCCTCATAAAAATTCTACTAGGTATGTGCTGTTATTATCTTCATTTTACAGAATAAGGCAGAGAACAGTATAGTGACCTTCCAGAGTCACACAGCAAATAAGTATCTGAACTCATATCTTCTGGTCCAGCGCTCCATCCATCTACAGCATCTAGAAACTTCATATTTTAGTATTATATATTACTTTAACACCAATATTCTTCAAGTCATGAAACAATGAAATCTCTAAAGAACTGAAAGGGCATATCATCCAAAAGACAACGTAAGGGTATATGGTTAAGTATGAGTAGGCAACACATGCACAGGGAATTACAGAGGAAAAGTAAAGGATATCAAAGAAATCCAAGAGCAAAAGTGGGCAGATCCCAGGACAAGAATGAGCACTGAGGGAGCCAATGGTAAACTCCTGATTAAAAGAGAAAGGAGTGAGCTGAATAAGAGGCAGGGAGGCATACATAGGTGAGCTGGGATCTCCATTTTGAGGGAATACCAACCAATACCTGTTAAAGCACAGAGTCAGGAGTATTTATCCGAATGTGTTATTCCATTAAATTAATGACATTTAAAATATTTTCCCTATTCTAAATATTCCTAATACCTAATCATAAAATAAACCCAGTAGCAACCAACAATCAATTACACCTACTTAACAAAAAAAAGCACAGAACCTTATGCCCCCAAGGACTCTTAATGTGAAATTTAATAATAGACACAAAAGTCTCTAATTACCTAGTTTAACAATAAAACCAGTTTACCCACATAAGACAGACTGGACTGGTTCTGGAGTCAAGAGGATCTGGATTCGATCCCACCTTTGACACTCACTCCCAACCTGCAGGGAGCTGCTTAACCTCTCTATATTTGTTAACTAAAAAATGGTTTTTAACGAATACCTATGTCACTGTTGTACTCTGCATACCTATCAAGAGATAATCTAAGATCTGAAAATAAGAGTCAACAAATTAAAAATAGAAATGGCACATCAGCAATGTATCAGAGAACCTTTAAGTATTACTATTCAAAAATATTTCAAAAGAAAATGGGTTATCCTTAAGATTTTATGCATCACTTCATTTTAAAATTACACAAGGCTTATTAACATAATTAAAACTACAATCCATACAATTCAATCACTGCTTTAAAAGAAATCATATGCTTTTGAATGAGTTTCTTCTATTGTAAGATAAGCCTTTCTCAGTCTAAGAGATCTTTATAATTGCTTCTAACATTAACAAAGCATTCTCTCATGGCAAATGTTTATTTTCACAATATATAACTGACTACATATCAATTCTTCTATTCTATTAAATAGGGGAAGGAGTAAAATCAAAATAAATGTTAAATTAATTATATTAATCTATAGTTATAGGTTTGAGAAGCAACGTGGAATAGGGTACAGCCCTGGACTTGAAGTCTGGCCATCTGGATTCAAATCCCAGTTCTGACATCAGCTAAACGACTATAAGCAAGTAATAAATTTTGAACCTCAGTTTCTTCAACTGCGTAACAGGAGTAATACTTGAGTTATCAATCTCTCTCAATGTTGTTTTGAAGAAAGTATTTTGTGAAACCCGGAGTACTATAAATACTATTTACAGTTAATAATCAAAAGCTAATCACTAGGCAAATGGCTTACAAAACCAGTTATTTTAAATATAACACTTGATTTTCATTATTAATGACAGAACTCTCAACCCTAGACTTAGACATAAGGAGTTGGAAAGAAA